GGGAGCGATCCGAAGCGCGCCGAGCGGGTCCTGGCCTGCTGCTTTTGTGCGTCTCGGTCAGCCCCGGGCGCGGGGGGCGGTTTCCAGGTCCTCCTCGGGCGTCCAGCACCCCGAGGGGACCCGCCTGTCTCCGGAGACTCTCTTTCCACGTTGCCGATGGCGCGCTCAGATGGATTTTAATATGTCGTTTCTCCGTTCGTCTTAACATTTCTCACATCCAGAGTTTCTAGGGGTGGAAGTTAGGGGTGACGTTAAATGTGAAGTGTAACCCCGGGCATTCGGTGAGCTCCTTGAGGACAAGAAGAGTTGCATCCTCAGAGACTGGCGGAGTTTCTGTGCATCTTAAACGCTGGATACCCTGGAGTGGTTACCTGGAGTCATTTGCATGCTGTTTAACATTTATCTCCAATCAGCCCCATTGACCTCTTTCATCTATCCCTCTACCTTTGTTCATTGCCTTTATTTATTTATTTACTTTTTTTCCTTCTCCTTAAATCTGCAATACGTTTTCTTTGGTATATAGTTCTGAAGCTTCTAATTTCAAAACAGTCGTCTTAGAGCCCACCCAACAACGTGGAGGTATCTCGAGACCAGGGGACTTCGCTCTTAGAATCATAGAATGTCGGAGGCGGAAAGGAACTGGGAAAGGTTAGGTCCAACATCTCATTTTACAAATAGGAAGAGGGCTAATGGAACCTAAATGATTTAACCAGGGTCAATTGGTCAATAAAAGTAAGAGTCTTTCCAGTATGAAACCTTCTTCCCATTCTTTTTCACCCTCACCATATTCTAATGTGTTTCTTAAGATAGTACTAGCCAGAAATCGTTCATACAAAGTCAAGCAACATGTGCACTTAGTGTAGGGGGGAAGCTTGGTTGAAGTCACAGAAGCCAATCTGGTGATCTGGGTTCAAACTTGTAATCAGATATATTACCAGCTAGATGACCTCAGTCAAATGACCTGCTCTCATCTTCAACCTTAGGATCTTTAAGATGGGGGGGGGGGGCGGGTAATAACTCACCAAGGTTGAAAGTTGTTGGTGGGTAAAATGAGATAATATCCAAAGTACCCTATCTTCTGCTTTTTGGAAATGCTGCTTTGCTTTCTTCCATAGATCAGTATAGAAGAAATGAGCCACTCAAAGGGCTAGCACATTTCTAGGTTGGTGGTATGGTGAGTTGAATAATAAATAACCCACCATAGATGTTCCTATCCTGATTCCCAAAACCGGTGAATGGCAAAGGACTTGCAGATGTGATTAAGTGAAGGATCTGGAGACAGGGAGATTATCCTTGATCACCTGGTAGGCCCGAAGCAGTCACAAGAGTCCTTGTAAGAGAAAGGGGGACCTAGAGTCAGAGCAGATGCAACGAAGGAAGTGGTTTATATTCTTTTAGTACACTTAAAAACCATTCCAAGGTTCTGATTTCCTCTGTTCCCATGAAAAGTCAGCCGTCAGTATGGCTACACTTCTTTGAAGGTAATAGGTCTTTTTTTGGTTTTCTGTGCTTTCACTATTTGTATTAGGAAGTGTACTTTTATGCATAATACTTGGGATTCACTGGAACTCTTGAAAGTACACATTGACATCTTCCGTGAGTTCTGGGAAATTCTCAGTCATGACTCTTTTTTTTTTTGGAAAGGTTTTTGCTATAGGGCACGTGCGCTTGCCAGACAGACAGACAGAGAGACAGAAAGCGAGAAATCACCCCCCCGGGGGGAGGGGGGATGGCCACGCCACAATCCCTTCTCCTCCATTCTCCTCTCAGGATCTTCCACACGCATGCACATGCACCCCCTGTGAGTTTTAAACCACTGGGTCCAGGATGCGAACCGCAGTTGACTACGTGGGAGTCCAGCGACATAGCCATTACACTAACTGCTGGTCCCCAGTCATGACTCTTCAAGTACTTTCTTGTCTCCTCTACCTGCAGATATATGTGTATTAGATCTTTTCTTTTTATCCACTTTCTTTCTCTCACTCTCTTTTTGGTAGAGGTTTTTGCCTTAGGGCACATGTCCTTGCTGGAGAGAGACAGATACAGTGCGAGGGAAAATGAGAAACCACCTCCCAGGGAGGATGGCTACACCACAAGTCCTTCTCCTCCATTCTCCTCCCGGGATCTTGCGCACAGACACACACAAGCGCCTGCCTGGTGTGAATTTCAAGCCACCGAGTCCGGGACTCAAACTGTGGTCGGCAGTGTGGGAGTGCAGCAACGTAACCGCTCCACCATCCGCTGGCCCCTCAACTCTCTTTTTAAGGTTGTTAGCTTTTTAAAATGTAATTGCAGGGTAACTCCTCAGTAATTTTTTAAAAATGAAATATCTGCATAGATTACAAAGGAAAATACATAACAATACACTCTAGCATTTATTAAGTACCTTCTATATGCCAAGCCTCTTACATATTACATACATGAATGTGAGATGAAAGTTTGGAGACAAATTCTTATTCTGGCTTTACAACTGACCAGCCAAGTAACAGGTCCTTTACCTCAATTCCTTCATGAAGTTTCCTCCCATTCTGAAATTCTTTTACTCAAATCTACACAGAATTGAAAGTCCAGGGTGCCTTGAGAAGAATTCTACAAATGGTAAGTTAAATAAGTTAAGTGTTATAGAGGAACTCCTTTGCACCCTCTTGTACTAGGTTCCTATGTTGCTGCAACAAATTATTACAAATTGAGTGACTTAAAACAACACAAATGTATTATGGTTTTGGGAAACAGAATTCCAAAATGGGTCTCACCATAAATTTAAGGTGTTGGCAGGGCTGTATTTTTCCAGAGGGAAGACTCCATTTTCTTGTGTTTTACAGATTCTGGGGACTGTCATTATTTCTTTGCTGCAACTTCCTTCCTGCAATTGTATCACTTCAACAATATAAAATCAACATATTTAAGAGTAAAAAAGAGTTTGAAAGGGAGTTCTAAGATTCTCTATACCTCTGCTTCAAGCAGTCTAAGTTTTTTTGTATATCTCCTTCTCTGTAGAGAACTTTCTCTCTTTTTCTATGTGTATGGTATGCAGCACTGCCAGCCTTGGTGCCAGGGTTCAAATAACCACCACTCGAGAAAATGGTCAGCTGTCTTAGTTTCAGTTACAAAAACCTAAATAGAAAGCAGTGGATTAGCTTAATTTCTTTTTTTTTTTTTTTTTTTTTTTTTTGAGAGGTTTTTGCTATAGGGCACATGCGCTTGCCAGACAGACAGAGAGAGAGACATAGAGACAGAAAGCGAGAAATCACCCCCCAGGGGGGATGGTCACGCCGTAATCCCTTCTCCTCCATTCTCCTCTCGGGATCTTGGGCAGGCACGCACACGCGCCCGGCATGAGTTTTAAGCCACCGGGTCCAGGACGCGAACCACAGTCGACTACGTGGTAGTCCAGCGACATAGCCATTACGCTAACTGCTGGTTCCCTAGATTAGCTTAATTTCTTTAGAAGTTTGTTTATTTTATTCATGAGAGAGAGTACAAGAAAGAGTGAGAGAGGCACTCTCAATAGTGTCTCAACTCAGAGATTGCAACACAGTCTCCTTTCCTTAGACCTCCAGCTCCTTGGGATTTGCATCATGTGTATTCAGTGTGTTTCCAGGTTCACTAGGGATATGATGGCTTCCAGCACTGCAGTTCAGTACACTATTGACTACACTATATAGGCTGGGCCTACTTCAGTTTTTAAAGGAGTCTATTCCTAGGCCAATCAAATTTTTCTGAGGGATTGGTGGTGTGGTTTCAATGTGTCCCCAAAATTTGTGTGCTGGAAACTTAATCCTCCATGTAGCAATGTTGAGAGGTGACATTTTTTTTTTCTTTTTTCTGAGAGGTGGGACTTTTTTTTTTTTTAAGAATTATTTTAGGGACCAGCAGTTGGCATAATGGCTGTGTCACTGAATTCCCATGTAGTTGACCGTGGTTCGAGTCCCCGGCCCTGTGGCTTAAAGTCATGCCA